CACACACACACACACACTGACAAAGAGCCCAGCGCTGGTAGAGCTTATCTCCTTACCAAGACGCTTCCTCCCTCACAGAGCTCTGTTTCCTCTTCCCCATCCTTCTGCCCGGCCCTGAGCTCAGCCCAGCTGTAATTACGGTCTTATCAAGCACACACACTGGGAGGGTTCACATAAACACGCACACACACAACACACACAGACATGCAGACACACCCCCAGACATTCACGCTTTTGCTTTTTCTTAGAACACACGCTTTGCACTCGGAGTTGAGGAGATGCGTTCAAAGCATCTCCTGAAGTGAAACCTCTCCCTTTTTCCAGTCAGAATGAGAGATGTCTCACTCTCTCTCGCTGGGTCTTTCTCTCCGTCTCTTTCACAATCCGTTCTGTCTGCAGAGATGATGACTGCGAAAGCCCGCTGACTCTCGCAAAAAACCTAAATCTCTTTGTGTAATAATTCAACTTCCAATAGCCTTTTCTTTTCCAGCCTGACGCGGTTGGCTGACTGAGCGGCGGCAGCTGTAAAGGAGCCGTGTCCTCGCCTGCTGTGCTGCAGATAAATGTCTGTCTGCACTGTTGTCAATGTCTCTCCTGTCCCCTGATGATGAGTTCAACATGTGTGCAGCTTGTCCGTCTTAATTTCTGCCTCCTCTCTTCTTTTCTTTTTTTTCCTAGGTACAGTCTCGGCTTAATAATAATGTCATGAGTGTCTGTGTGTATTTTTTTCTGACTATTTGTCTGTCTGCTTCTTTTCTGTCTCCTCATGAAGCATTTAAAGTCGCTGCCTTACAAATTAAAGCAGGTATACCTTTGGTTTCATCGCTTTCACCTCCATATCCAACATTTTCTCCATCTTCAACCTACCTCTTCCTTGCCTTTGATGCTAACGCATTTGTTCATTACGCATGCTGTAGAAAAGATGATAATAGAAGTCAAAACACATCTTAATGTCCTGTAGTAGTACAGTAGATTCACTAACATAGTTTCATTCTAGAGAAATGTGGACATAAACAGTAGTTATCCTCCCTGTATGCCAGTTTTCATCCTCCTGCCCACCGCTACAGAAAGTCGGCCCCTACTCTTACGTACAGTGTTGTGTGAGCTGCTTATGTTTTGTCTAACAACCACTCACAGTCCGACAAAGCTATTGTTTCCTCTCCCTCAAAACCCGAAACAAAAGGAAGACCGTGTCTGAAGCTGTTTTTTAATGGTGTTAATAGCTGGGTGATGGGGGAGAACAGAGGTGAGGAAAGGGGTGGGAAGAAGAGAGAAACAGAGTGATGGAAAAGAGAGGAGGAGGTTAGTGCAGGAGACTGAGGGGGAAGGAATGTGAGAGGGAGGAAGGGAGGGAGGGAGGGAAGGAAGGAACAAGAGTGAAGTTACACAAAGAGGAGCTGGTGGGGTGAGTGGAAGAAGGGAGGGGAGTCAGACGCAGGAGGGTAGATGAGGCTTGTTTAGTTTATGTGCCAGCAGGGTGGCGTGTTGTCTGTCTGCGAGGCCTTCGACAGCATCAACAGGCCACTGGTATTAGTCACATCAAGCCTCGTAGCTCCTCGCCGGCCCGCTGCTTCAGCTCGGCTCCGCAGCACCTCACAGACTTACAGGCTCCATCCCTCAAGTGTTGTGCACACACTTTACTTGCTTTATGTATACAATGAGGAAAAGGGAATAAGAGCAGGTAACAGTGTATTTGGATAGGTTGACAGCTTTGTTTACTTTTACACTTTGCACTGTGTGACTGATAGAGAAAAGTTACGGTGTGGGATTATGGTTTTGCGTCTCTGTCTGCGTCGCAGCAACTGGCCTGCACGATGAGCTGTGATGAGTGATGAGCTGCTCTAACACAGTGTGCGAGTTTGCCCTGGTGACCTTAATCCACGGAGAACTCTGAAGAAGTTGCCTGTTTTCTAATTATGTATGCACGTGTTTGTGTAGGTTTCTGCCGGAGCACTGCTCAGCTCTATGAACACAGATGCCGTGTGTGAGCGCCTCAAACAGATGGATGGAATCGACTCCAGTATGCTGCCTCAATACACCTCCATCATCAAGAAGGTGTGTCTGTCAATAACAGGCAGATTTTGATCCATATGTTTCTAAAGCTTCTTATTGTAGAGGAAAAAAAAGTTTTCTAATACTTTGATAGTTAACGCGCATGTTGTTTTCATATTCTTTACATAGTTTCTTTCCAGTTCCTTTTTAACTGCCTCCTCACATGTTGTCTGATTCTAATTTAAACACATTAAGATTTCAATCTTCCATTTACAAACTAATTCGTCCTTTCCTTGTCCATTACAGGCTAATATAAATGGCCGCGTGCTGTCTCAGTGTAACCTGGATGAGTTGAAGAAGGAAATGGAGATGAACTTTGGTGACTGGCAGCTCTTCAGGGGAATGGTGAGACTAAATTCCTCCCTCACTTCCCTCACAGCCTGATTTAATATTGCTGCCCTGTGGGCGTCTCGTGTTAAACATATAAAGTAGCAAATGGGATAAAAGATTACGGTGTGTTGTGTCAAGTCAAAAGAAGTGGGCCATCGTGATAAAATGACAAAAAGTCCACCACATGGAAAACCTTTTCATTACTCTATAGAGTCAAAGCCTGAAATAGTTTTACAATAGCGCACATTCTCCTCTGTGATACTTTGCAGACACTTTTCCTGCCAGAGTCATCCTGCTGTTGATATATGTCAGCTCCTGTTTATTCCAAAAAGAAGCAAGACAGGATCAGAAAATACGACATCTTGTGCAGCGCTGAGATATATTAGGATCGGAGATTTTATAATCCGTATTACGAGAAGGTCATTCAGCCAGGAGTCCTGTCGGCTGAGCCGCTGCTGAAATCACTAACACATGTAGCCGGCTCCGCTCAGTCAGATGTCAGCCTGTGCTCCTAATACCAAACCAGAGCCCTGGATTGGTCGTGTTTTATCGGAGATCTGATGCAGGGCAACACATACGAGCAGCTGGACAGTGCAGTGTCCTGACGGCTTCACGTACTAAACAGTGTTGTGTTGCCAGGATGCAGCCAGCAGAGCCATCTGGTTCAAGATGGCTGCCTGGTATCTGTATGAAGGGAGGTTATTGTTGGGCAGGAGTGGACAGCTGAATAGCTCTACTTAAGGAACAGCTCACAGTTCTCCTCTCACAAGCACATGCTTTTGTTGTCGTCCAACATTCTAGTTTTATAAATCACATGCTCTGAAAAAACATGTTTACGACCAACTCTGAAACTCAACTCAATAGTTTTGTTGATGTGAAATATTCAGCCATGATGTATCTTCTCAAGGTGATGGAGCAACGTCATGCTGAAAGCCAGGCTGTGCTTCATGATGAGTCCCGAGCTGTGAGCGAGCAGGGCAGCAGCGTGCACCACGGTGAGCCCGGCAGACGCTCAGGAGCAGCCCCGTCAGAGGCGGCGGGGTTCAGCCTCAACCTCAGCTTCGAGGAGCTCAGCGGGGCCGGGCTGGAGGAGCCTCCGAGACACAGCACCAACTTGCACTGGCCGGTCAGTCTTTCTGTCAGGAGTAAATACACCACTACCTTAGATATGATCACACACATT